CATGTTCCTCGCGGTTGGATTTCCAGATACATGCACTTTGACAGGCTGCGATGCTGGTTAGGTATGCCAGCAGTCATTAGGTATGCTTCACATGTGTAAAAAATATACAAAGCTACATAGCTTCTTTATACATTGATATCGAAAGTGTATCACATGTATTTATCACAGGCTGAACAGGAAAGGAATTCTGGGAGCCTCGAGGGGGGTGGGGTTATTGATGGTGAAGTGTGCTGGCAGACTCATAAACCCACTGAGAATTTGGAGGTTCCCTCCCAGGCAAATGACTGGGGTCCTCATCTGGATTGACCAATGGCTTTTTAAGGAGCGGCAGGCAGGTGCCTCAGCGGGCCAATCAGCAGGCTAGGAGGAGGACAAGCCGCAACGCCGGTCGTCATTCGCGGTTAGCGGATGGAGACGCGCGGCGGTGCTTTGCCGTAGTGTTTCCACGGCGCCGGCGCGCGCCGCCGGTCCTGCACGCCCGGTCATCGCTGCTGCGTGAGCTACATCAGGCCGGGAAGCGTCTCGCGGCTTCATTAAGGGGAGGGGGGGAGCAGCGGCTGTCGAGGTCACGTCACTCCTCTCAGACGGGGGCACCATGTCGGAGGCAGAGTCAGCGGGGGGTGGGGCGGTGGGGGGGGGAGAGGGGTCGGACAAAATAAACAAAAAAGGGAGAGAATAAAAGCCTGTTTGGGGCTTATTCAAAGGAAGCACCATGAATGAAGAGGGCAGCCGAGGATTCTGGGATGCAGACTTTCAGAGAGAGAGAGGCTCGTCAATAAAGGGTGGAAAAGACACAGCAAGAAAACATTTTAATACTATTTATGCATTCTAATCGCTGGCAGTGGACAACGAATTCCACTCTTGTTAATTTTAAGCAGCAGCCGTTGAAGGCAGCGTCGCTGCATTGGAGGAAACTTAATCTGCCTGATGAAGCAAGTGAATGACCTACTATGGTCGCCCTTGGGTGGAGATGCGTCTTAGGAAGGGGTGGGGGGGGGGCGGTGGGGAGCCACAGGCCACAAGCCAGGCTGATGGAGGGGGGGGGGGTCCACTTCATCGTTAGCACCCATAATGTCACTGTTTCCGGTGTGTTTCTCTAGCGACCTTAATTAGCGTGCATATCTGTGCGGAAGTGATACTTTATATGGTGACATAACACTTCTGCTTATCACTTATCCGCTGGGAAATACCAGTAAGGAATTTAGCAAGGTGACAGCATCGCCCAGGATCGTAAGGCCTTTAATAATGCTTAGTAATTATAAGGGCTAAATACTGTGTAATAATGCATCTCAGCCCTGTGCAGCCGCAGCGCCGAAGGTGTCCTGAATTTTTAGCATGACCTTGAAGGGGTGTTTTTTTTTTTTTCCCCCCTCCCCAGCTTTTTACACCGGCCCCAAAATGGAAACCGCATCCAACTCTGTGTGACAGGAATCCCCCAAACCATTATAAAGCCACCGCGAGGGCTCTGCGGAGGAGCGAGGGGCCGCAGCTTTGCGGAAGAGACGGGGCGCGGGGGGGGGCGTCAGAACCAGGGGGACTGAAGCCAGCACATTTGCCGGGAAACCGGGGGGGGGGGGGGGGGGGGGGGGGGGGGGGGGGCCGGGGTCAGCGTCGTGATGAACGACCGGCCGTGAACCTGAAGTGCATCACACCGTAAAGGCGCCTGGACCCCGCCCCCCCACCCCCCAGGACAGCAAAATAACAGAAAGCTGTAACACCAGAACTGGGACCTAAGTATATTTAATACACACCTCCTCCACACCTACCGGAGACTGCAAAAACAAGAGGACAGAACATGTGTGATAAACCGATTCAGTCGCCTGGTTTACACCCATAATAATCATCTAGACCATATGCTACCTGAGAATAGGATGAGAATAAAGGAATTATATACAAGACAAATGAGTACGTTATCTCACTTTGGGTCGTTATGAATTACAATTGCAGAACATAATCTAAATTATTGAAATATAACAGAATATTTAATGTCTAAGCAAAAAGAAAATGTACAGTGCGGTAATATGTACAGCAGTGTAGTAATGCTAGGATATATCTTGGTGTACCTGGAGTACAGATATGAATTCTGCAAGCCTAACATACATCAGGACTTCATGTAATACAAACACTTTAAACGCAGGAGCTCCCCAGTCCTTACTTGGGTTTGCGTGACTTTAGTGTTCTCTAGTGGCCCGGTGAGATATGTCTCGTATATGAAGCTGCACTTGGCTCATAATGTCATAAAACACCCTAAACTCTAATCTGGATTAATGTATGTGAAATGGGATGAGGGAATCTTTGTGAAAGCCGAGACAGAGTTGCTGACGTACTTGCATGATGCGACTACTTGCCATAATAATCCGGCAACTAAAAAGAGCTTCAGGTATATTCTTGCGTGTTTCACATTCAAGCGACGCGACCCGCTGGTAGGATTGTCTGCCGTAGAAAAATTCTGTGATCTCCTTTCATCCGCTACACTTTAAGCAGAGCTGATCGCACTTAGTTGAGAGAATAAAGCCCTTATTGATCGTTTTCGTGTGAATTGAACTTGCGATGCATTTTAACGCATTATGACTTATAAAAGTATCCGTAACGCCTTGGAAATCTTGCTTTCGGCCGAAGTTCTGCGCGAATACTGTAAGCGGCTCCTTTGATCTTATTAACCAAGCGTGATGAATGGGGACCAGCAGGTCTCCCTAAGCCAGACTTGAAAGGTAGAATCAGAGGGAATGAAGATATAAAGCAGGTAAAGGAAATAAAGAAATGCTGCGGCAGGGCAAGGCAGATACGGTGTAAAACGATCGCCGGTAATTAATTTGTCCCACGCAATGGACCGGCGTCCATCCAGGCTGTCCCTCAAACCACGTGCGTCCTGACAGACTCCAGGCCTACGTACGTCACCCTCTATTGGATAAGTAGATTTATGGGAAATGGATGGGTGACCTCGTTATAGGCAATTCTGGAAGAGTGTTCAGTGTGCTAAAATCTGATTCAAGCTTATCTTTATTCTAGGTGGCGTTATTCTATGCAACAATGGAGATTTCGGTAGCCTTCTGTCGCCGTGATTTGAGTATCGCTTTGCTGTAGTAAATCAGCAGATGGTTTTTTTCTGGCGTTCACGCCACTCCTCATAGTGAATAACCTGTTCTGCAACGAGAAGGTTTATGTCGGGTATTCTTACGAGTAATCCCCTCATCCCCAAGCAGCAGATGATGCCTACCGATGCATTTCACAGCAGTAATTCATGAATTCATGATGCAATGCATTCGTTTGATTATAATTTATAATGTCTGACTGAAGTTTGACTGGTAATGGTTTATGTGTTCATTAAATCCATGTTGACAGATGTCTCGCTAAAATTATGAAAATTAGAAAAACTGCTTATTACGCCAAAAAAACGAAACCCACTGAACAATTCATTATCAATAGTACATTATCAAGTCAGATTCATAGTTGTCTGAAACCTACACGATCAATATGGGGTGAGAGGTTAGGGCCACCTAAGGCACGACTCCGTTTCAGAAATTATACATATATAACCATAACAAACAGACTTATTGTAGGAAATGTTTATAAAAAAATCTGTGACTGTAGTAAAAAGAAAAACTGAAAATGCCAAAAGTCTTGTATTTTGTTTGGTTAGCTATGATTGAGGTTACGGCTGGATTGAGGTTAAGGTTGTCAATGTCGGAGTTACGGATTTCAATCAGGAAGGCCCTTCAACCATAGACGGCACTAATTAAATTACACATTAAGTTCAGATTCTTTATGAGAGGTTCGCGTCGACTCCAGACACTTTCCGAATGTGCGAAGTAAATGAAACATGATCGGAGTGTAAATAAGGGCACAACATCCTGATTTCCTCCTTTATTTTTTGTTCACCTGAGGAATCACATCATACATTTTTATATGACAGTGCTATTTGGGTGACGCAGGCCTTTGCGTGACAGTATCTTTTATGATTCTGATTAAATCCTCCATCACTGTCTCTTGCTAGGGGACTGTGTTTTTCAATTCAGCTATCGGACTGTAAAGATGCCAATGGGACCCTATCAGCTCTAACCCATCCCTTGGTCCCTTTGACCTGCGTGAAGAACGCATTAAATCTTCTCTTCCCGTTAAATCTTCTTGTCTGGTGTGGGGGAATGACCATGGATTTACAGCAGACATGTAGCCCCGACGCCCAGAGGCGCTGATGCTGGTGACAAATCCTCCTTCCCAGGTCCCAGCCGCTCTGGCCCGTGATGCCCACACTCAGTGCAAAAGTGGAATGTGGCCGAGTTTCTTACCTACTTGTGTAGTTCTGGCAGCTTCTCAGACCTCAGTTCTCCTCACATGACCCAGTTCTTCTGGAAGTCCTTGTCCCCCAGGAAGCCTATCACTTGAGACAGTCCTTGTCCTACTAGAACCATACTACGTGAGACAGTCTTTGTCCTCCTGGAACCCTATCACTGGTAGATGGTCCTTGTGCCCCAGGAACCCTATCACTGGTGACAGATCAAGTCCTCCTAGAAGCCAATTACTAGAGACCATCATTGTCCTACTAGAACCATATTACTCGAGACAGTCTTTGTCCTCCTGGAAACCTATTAATGGAGTAAATTCTTGTCCTGCAAGAACCCTATTACTTGAGACGGTCCTAGACCAGCAGGAACCCTGTCACTGGAGATGGTCCTTGTCCTGCAGTGACCATATGACTAGTTATAACCATGCCTCAAAAATGACACCATTTGAGCACTTACAGAATGCAGAGAACCAAACCAAGAGGACCAGGACCTTGATGGGACCCTGGGGGACTGCAGTGCCTTTATTTGGGCTGTGACATTTCCGCAAACCAACACACCATACCATAGTCTGCACAAATGGCAAGCAAAAGTTCCTTACAAAACCTCTCAGAACAGCAGACCCAACATTACTAAAGGAATATTTCTTAATTAGAGATGAACACATTTAATACCTTCTTGGAGGATTATACTCGATTTCAATTTAACACCGAAACAAAATTTATACCAGATTCCTTTTAATCTTAAAAAAATGCAATTATACAGCTTTGTAATAATTACATATTAAATTTCTGCCCACTTAAGCCGCACATACTAAAAAAAAAAAAAAAAAAAAGGTTTATCGGTTGGGAACAACAAAGAACTTTCAAAAAATTTTGTATGTAAAACACCAGGAGTCTCATCACAACAGTGTAGAGGCTGCAGTTTCTACAGTTGTTGTCTTAAAACTGTATCCATATATGAAGACTTACCTCTAAACCATGAAGTCTATACAATCTTTTCCATATACAGAACATCAGGAAGTGTTCAGTTTGGGGGTAAAAAAAAAAAATTCTATAAATACAATTATAATCCACACTCAATGGGGCATAAAACAGAGAAAACAGACACACTGAGGCTTCAACAAGAGAGCGAGGAACGAAAAAAGTCAACATTCAATGTCACGCTTAACGACAACCATTAGGTCTGATATTGATGTATTTGTTTCTCTATTTTCACAATGGATTCGCTTAATTAGGCCTGTGCCACGATAAGCATGCCTTTTTTCACCAAGATACACATAACAGTTACTTGGTATCCGATGCTTCAGGAGTCGGTCACAATGACATCGGAAGGGATGACTTCACTGAAGCCATAGTTATTTAAATAGATTACATATATAGGCCACCAGCGATTAGAATATGGGAGAAAAAAATATTATGGCATTTAAATCCACTGACATCTGCATCATTTAACTGGCACGTTAACAGTTCAGCCTGACAAGCACATTCTTCATAACTTATATGGGCCTTTTAAATATTAATCTCCTAACTGCTGCGGAAAAAGGGAAAAAAAAAAAACAAACTCTGACTGAGAGGCAAACATTTCAACATATATTATTGCTGATATGTATACAAATGTGCAAAACCTGTATTTAATTGAAAATATAAATGCACTTCATTTATTAGAAATGACAATCTAGAGTAATCAAGGCAGGTATTTTTACCCTCTGAAATAATCCTGAATTAAACAGAATTATAAGGCTGGAAAAAAATTAGGTCACTTAATTGTATATTCGAATACTCCCCAAATCCACTTCAATGTCAATATACTGACATCATTAACCCTGACAACCTTTAAGATAAAGAAAGACAATAGAGCCAAACTATCACCACACCTGACCAGCTACAAAATATAAAGCCCCCCCCCCTCAATAAACAGTAATGGTATCATATTTAAAAAAAAAAAAGAAGTTTATAAGCACCCTGGCACTAATCAGAAGATGTAGTCCTTGGTTGCCCTGAGGGAGGGCATGACATCGCTGACGTTCTGGTCCAGTCGCCGATACTCCACACCCTTGGAGCAGAAGCCGTCCCTCCATCGACGACTGTGGACCAGGAGGAGGATCTGAGGGCAGGCAATATAGAATCTTATATACCAGGAGGAGGATCTGAGGGCAGGCAATATAGAATCTTATATACCAGGAGGAGAATCTGAGGGCAGGCAATATAGAATCTTATATGCCAGGAGGAGGATCTGAGGGCAGGCAATATAGAATCTTATATACCAGGAGGAGGATCTGAGGGCAGGCAATATAGAATCTTATATGTTTGCCTTTCCCTGCGGTCCTTCCTTATGAGACAGGATACAGGAGCGTCTGGTGTCTGCCTGTTTTTTCCTCCATCATCCCATAAATTAAGCTAGCTAATTAGTCGCTGACTGAATTCTTCATCGATTTTACCCAATTTGGCAAATAACAAATCAGTTTTTGAAAAACACTATTACAATATGTGTAAGGCATTTATTTAAAACTACTTTTAAAAATTGTTATAATAAATTGTTTTAATAGTCAACAGCTGTTGCAGAGGGGCTCGATAAATTTCGGTAATACTTGTTTAAAGAACAAATTGGTCTATGGCGCCATCTGCTGGACAGAGCAGAAAGCGTGTGACTTCTGTCTCAGTAATGTTTCATTGTCTCTAAATAAGGAAGTTTGGCCTTTTGCAAGAGATAGAAAGCACGCATTGTAAAAGATCACATGCTTATTCGTGTCCAGTGATGTGTAACCTGCAGGCTAACTGCAGCAAACAGAAAACTTGAGGCATACCTTTATATATAGGCCACGTACTATAGTGGTATGCAAATTTCTTGACAGCACCCCCCCCCCCGGAGCTGATATATTTGTCCTGATCATACACACACACAGACCCCAAATAAACTTTAATTATTAAATAAAATAAAATGCAATTATTTTAATCAGTGTCATACAACATGTACAAGCATATAATGTATTCAGATTATTTTTAATATTTCTAAAGAGTGCAACTTTGAAGTAGGTCTGCCCTGAACTCTAATTCCTCTCTCTGTAATTCCTTCACTCCCCACGGTTTGAATGCTCTGCTCTCAGGCCTTACCTTTCTCTTGTTGTGGTAGGTAATGTACGCAATGGCCACCAGGAAAGCAAAGATGACCAGGTGGAAGAAAAAGTGGGAGTCTGCATCCTCATAAATGGATGTTGAGAGGACCCCATTCTTCTCTTGATTGTAAAGCCCATCATCATCATCCATATCTCCTTTAATGTCACCCATGTCAGTCATGTCACCGTCGTCACCCATGTCAACGAAGTTAGTTGTGTCACCGTCACCCATGTCACCGTCACCCATGTCACCGTCATCATTGTCACCAACGTCAGTCGTGCCACCGACGACAGTCGTGTCACCCGTGTCACCGTCATCATTGTCACCGCCAGTCGTGTCACCGACGACAGTCGTGTCACCCGTGTCACCGTCATCACTGTCACCGTCAGTCGTGTCACCGACGACAGTCGTGTCACCCGTGTCACCGTCAGTCCTGTCACCGACGACAGTCGTGTCACCCGTGTCACCGTCATCATTGTCACCGTCAGTCGTGTCACCGACGACAGTCATGTCACCCGTGTCACCCTTCTCTTCACCCTCCCCCATGTCACCCTGAGTGGGGGAGGAGCTCAAAGGCTCATCTGAGGAAATTGGGCTGCTGAAGGGTCCGGCTGGGTCTGCAGAGGGTGACGGGGGGATGGTAGGTGGCGCTGTGGTAGCAGCCTTTACAAATGTGCTGCTTAAGTTGTCGACCTTCTGACTGATGCCACTTGGGACGGAGGACACAAAGGCTTTTACTCCAGGGGGGCTCTTTGGAGTCACTGGGTTATCCTCTGAACGGTTCCCTGGGTTACCGGAATTTGGTGGTGAGTCTGGGGGTGTTTCATCATTTTTCCCCACACCTGTTCAACAGATAAATGATGACAGTGAATTAGCTGCGTAGTCTTTAAAGAACAGCCCCAGATACAATAATGAAAAACATAGCCAAGCAAACCATGTCAGGCCATCAGTGATCTGTGTGATTTTTGGCAAAATGTTTAGCTATCACTAAATGATTATTTTTTTATTATTTGCATTGTCACATTGAAAGATACTGAAATATATGCAGTACTCAATGCAGGAGTGAAGTAAATGTTTCAAAAAATTCTAAGCCAAAGAATATAGTCTACATTTGACTTTATTTTAAATTTTACTCTTTATGTTGCGTTCATAAGTTAATCTTTTTACTTAAAACAGCAATGCTATTAATTACACATCAGTTCTCTCCCAGACAAATGAGATGTGAATCCCTTCAAGAACTGGTCTAGGCCTTGTGCTGTGTTCCATTTGAACTCGGAAGTCGGTAGTTGTAAATTTCATCTGGAACTGCCCCTGAAGTTGGAATTCTGACTTGAAAAGTAAGAGAATAACATCTTCAACTTTGGCCTGAGAATTCAAGATGGCTGTGCCTTTTATGAACAGAAGTGAAAAGTATAGTTATATACTGTTTATTAGCACTTACGTCTTATTTGTGGCTCATTAAATCGTACAGTACTGTCCAACCTCTATCTGTGGACTTGTTGCTATGGTGTTTTTATGCTCAAAATATGCTGTTATCAACTGATATTGCTAACAATGGCTAACACTGAACCTGCCTAGAATAGGGGCCCGTTTCAGAAAGTAAGATTTCTTGCCTAGCCGGATAACTTGTCGGATTTAAGGTAGTATTTATGGTAGTATTAGCAAATGAAGACAAAGGCCATTTAAACCGGGGTAACTTCATCCGGCTAAGCAGGAAATCCTGCTGTTTGAAACAGGTCTCTGGTATTGCTAAATGACTTTCGAACTTTGTTGTTGTTGTACTAGAACGCAGTTAACTTGGGTGTGATGTCATTCCCAGCTCCAACTTCCAAGGTAAAGGGAATGCAGCGACAGAGCTGTTGCTCTCAGGTAGCTGGGTTAATTTAAGCTAGAAGTCATGATTGTCCAATAGGAATGCTCCTTACCTAAACTCTTATTGGACAACCATGACTTCTAGCTTAAGTTAATCAAGCTAACTGAGAAATCTATTTAGTAGCTAGAGTTTTAGATTAAAAAATAAAATTAAAATCCATTTATATGAAGTCTAACCACAGATGTTGGTGGGTAAAGAAATAACTCAAGGCCAACTGCTTCTGGCTGAAAAGCCTCTTTATCCAACAATCAAAGACCCAATTAACTGGTAGGGATCATGTGAGGAATGTATGACACAAAAATTCAACTCTGAGAAAGAGACAAAATACCTCACTGTGTCCCTTTAGCAAATGTAGTTGTGAAGACAAGCAAGGTAATCAAAACACAAGATGCCCATTCTATAGACACTATTTGCTTAAGCATGTGAATAAATCATACCTATATTTGTCTAAAGTATTTGCTTTTTTTTATATATTCTGGACTGCGAACAACTGACATTATTTTACAGGTGCTTGGTCTGTAATAAATCAATAACAAAAGAAACAGAGAAGACCCCAAAATTAAACAAAACAAAGACCCTGTTTTAAAAGCCTGATGCATATTTACCACTGCTCCACACCAGGACAACAGTCACATACAAATATACAAATATCCTTTGTCTTGCTGACCTCAAACAAAAGTAATGTTTTTCTTTATTTTGGGTGTTCACTCTGAATATCAACGTAGATATCACTATTATCCTCCACACAGACCTCCACATGGGCCCATAAGCTCATCGGTGAAGGCCGTCTGCCAAATGCCAGTCAAATCCATATAAACGCAAGGCACTGTGGTACTCAATTTAGGGGGAGGGGGGATTCCACTCATGAACAGGGTTCTCAGGAGCCCACTGATAAGGTATTAGCACAGACTAGGTCAAAGTGAGCAAGAGGAATCTAACAATTTGTTAAACCGAGGAAAGCTCTGGGGCTTGAATGAAGCTTTATTACTTAAAACTTGGGCATACAGCCGCTGAACAGAGTTGTTCTGTTGACATGTGGGGCCTGTAAGATTTCAGGAGCCAAAACAAATTAGAATCGTTTCATTTCATGTTTTTCAACAAGGGTGACATTCATACAATCAAGCCCTTCTCTTTTCTCATTCTCTAACTTGCATTATGTATGAGAGAATTATCCGGCTGCAGACACGCAGACGAAAGCCAAACAATTTCACCAAAAGTTTACAAACAACCAATCAAAATGAGAGGGGATTTCAAGGTTCTCCTACACAAATCTCTCATAACTTGCATTTGATCAAAGTTGCGATGAACTCACCACTATTCAGTCAGTAATTCCGAGCTACAGCAACGCAAGCAATTACTCCAGCTGAGAAATGACAACTCTTTCTTCAATGGAACGATTCACACGTTTGGTTCAAATTCAGGAACCTTTTAAGTGTTCATGTGTTCAAGCCAAGAAGCCGTGCGAAGGAAATTGTGCTCACTGTTTCACTGCAGGATTAGCAAACTCACCAAGATAACCAACAACACCAATGAAACCTGTAACATCCAGCCCAGTGCTTTGTTCCTACTTTTTATGAGGTTTAATATGTTACACCCCACACCAGCCCCAACGACTAGCATTTATGGGCTATGTCTACGCAACATTTGGGTTGTCATAGGTGGGTAAAATACCTGCAACCTACGCGATTATCTCAGCTGCCTGGCTCCCCTGAGTGAGGCTCGTGTCACTCGTCTCCATGAAAGTAGTGCAGTTGGAGACAACATCAAACACCAAGGCAACTCATCTGCTCAGACTGTGTATCTAACTCACCCATTTCTTCATCCGAAAATGCACTTACAGGATATGGACTGAAATTCTTATTGGGTTTAACCCATAGTAAAGAATCTCTTAAGACTTTATAACTGAGATTAACCATGAATTCTGTAATTATATAAAATAAATAAAGGTCTAAGTACTTGCTGCAGTTAATAATTACTATCAATATTAAAATCAATCATCTGCATGGTCTTGGATAACCGAGTCTTAGTGAACGGAACGGAACGCAAAAAACTGGCCAGGGAACTCTGCATTTTCTACATTGTTTTCTTCTGAAGAATGATTCAAGTAATTTCAGGGTAAAATGTTAAAATGCAATGATAATGATCGCTTTCATTCCATTTTATGAGTCACGACAAATGGCAGTGTTGTGTCATGTTGCTAAAAGGAGTCTATTTCAAGTGCTTCAAAAGTGCAACACTGACGACATGGTTCAAAAGAATACTAAAAAGAGGAAGTTGTAAAAACGCACGACCTTTCATAATATGGGAACTGAATCCCTTCTGAAATAGTTTCATTTCACACGCAGAAATAGGTACAGGAACGGGCTCCGCTGAGCAATTTAGAGACACAAACAAGCCGGCAACGCGACACTAAAGGGCACCTCTAGGTAAATAAGCATCTGGATTGTGGTCAAACACACCCTACCTGCTGTGCAGACGCTCGATCAGGCTGAACAGGATATATTACCGGCTCCAGATCAGACAGCGAGATGCTGATAAAGCGCAGGCCACACATTAAGACTGCCGGCAAAGGCTTATATTTGTGTTCATCGAAGACATGTCATGATAATTGTAAACAAATACATGCAATTGAAGTAAATAAGCATATAAGCACAGAGAGAGGGGGGAAAGGGGTTGTATATTAATTGACTCCGTAAAGTAGACACTTAACCAGCAGACAGTCTAGATTAACTGAGCGTGAAAGGGTGTGTCGGCCAAATGACGCGATGAAGTCGGGTCGTATTTTTGTACACATATACAAAAATATATAAGCGATAAAGATGCAGCCGGGTTTGGTGAATACTGAGTGACTATTGAGCATTAGGGAACTAAGGGAAAACAGTGCGCATCCATCATCAGGAAACAGATATCCGGTGCCGTTTAAATCTGATCCAAGTTAATGAAGTCGCCGGAGTGCAACCACAGGTAACCGTCCAGAGCCGAAAGTGACCGCAAGGCTGCGTTCAAATGCCAGCGGAGCGGCCGGAACCATCCGCCGCGCAGTTCGGCTTAACCAGCTCCTTTCCTCACTGGTTGCAAAACCAAGCTTAATTCATTTCTGAGGCACCCAAGTCACTTACCTGACACGCATACCAGGTGAGAGGCGTACAGCAAAGTGAGAATCGACACCACGGAGCGCATGGCCGTGTACCGAACTGTCCTGCTCACGACCGCCATCTTGAGCGCGGAAACGCGGATGCGCGCTCACGATGCGCGAGGCAGGGAACGCGGAGGAGAAACTGCGGCGTTAACTGTCAGTGAAACTGGCTGGAGTGAGCTAAATTCAGCGTCCTCATCAGAAGCCAGTGGGTGGATCTTACGTGTTTAGGGAAATCTACCTTTAACCCCACTCCCCCTTTAGAATTTTCAGCCAAAAACAAATATTATCTGTCCAACAGTCATGGGCGTGATGGTCACATGATTAAAATCGTCCATACCTCTGTATGTGACCGCAAACTTTTAATACTTACAGGAACGGTCAGTGGTATGCAGTTCCGGAGAAGCCGGTTTCACTACTTAACCCCCCTTGCAAAACACGCAGTCACCACTGTATTTTAATAAACCCGGCATAGTATGTGCCCCCTCCCCCCGTTTGCTGCAAAAAATTAACCATAACATGTAGCTGTAGTTTGCAAATTCGATTGCCCAATACTTCCGTGAACCACGAAGCAGTCGATATACAGTAAGGTGTGTATTATGTGACGTCAACTTAAAATAATTTCCCGTTCGATATTTTATATTCCCGCTGCTTTAAAACAGTTACCGATAGCAGAGTTAATCCCACCCCTAGGTTTAAAAGTGTCCTTTACCGAGGAAATTCCTATTTATGCACACTTAGCCCTTACCCTGAAGCCAGCAGTACTTCAAGAAAAAAAAAGCACAGATCAGATTAAGGTAATTGTTTTATTACTATTATGGGAATAACAATAGTCAAGTATATAGGTGTTTGTTCCTGTTTTGAACTTAAGAACGGAAGACATTTCCCATGAAAATGTACCTATTCTACCAGAAGCATTTCTGTGGATCGGCAGGCTGTGTGAAGGGGTAATCTTCTTTTTAACTTGACCTTCATTAACCAGAGCTCTGCTTTTAGCCCACGAGAAGACGGTAAGAATAGGACATCGTAAAATATACATACTTTTAACTACTTATAATGTGACGAGACCCACACATACAAAGTGAAACACACAAACTTTTAGTGCCTTGGAGAATTACTGTTGCATAAGTGTAGGGCGACCAAACCAACACGCAAAGCGATAACTAATCAACGCATCATGTCGTTCTTGATTTTTTTTCACTAATTCATGGCAATATTTCACATTTTCCAAATGCAGAACGTAACCCCAGTACCCAGAGCCAACACTGTGACGCATGCAACAGCCCCATCTAGTGGACAACAGATTCTACAAGCAGTTTCACATCGCCCTCTCCGATTTGTTTTTTTGACCAGCCTTTTTCACGGAGCAATACAAGAGAAAATAAATTAAATAAGCGCTCGAGTGTCGTGGAATGATCATGAATTTAAGAAAACGAACTCAATTAGTGTTTTTTTTCTGTGTAATCATATAGTCATCTCAAATTCTGCACCATGTGATTCTTTCCTGACATTAACACTCTTTCTACAATGAACTAAACAATAAAATAATAATAATAAAAAAAAACACTGGCTTGCCATCTTGGTACACCTAAAGGAAACACAAGGTGAAGAATGTAGCTAATAAAATATTTGGAGGATATTGCAGCACTAAATTATTCTATGCCTCAAATTCCAGCCCTAGTCCCAGTTTATGACCACCTGCATTGATGTTCTTTCCGTCCAGTAGGGCAGACAGGGTCAGCTTTATACCTACGTAGGAAGGAATGGACAATCTGTCAAATAGCGATCAGAGGAATTCATTAATCTCTTTTGTATCCGATTATAAATCCGAGACTGAATTACTCTGTAGCTTAAATATTCTTTAATATTATTACTTTGAGTGAAAATGATTTGCCAAACACTGGGAATCGATGATAAAACCTCACCTGGCTTCAGAGTTTGAGTGTAGCCCAGTCCCACAAGACTGGAATTATTGACTTTGGCCTACAGAAGGAGAGAAAAAAAAAGACGAAAACAGCGTTAAGAAAGAAAAAAAAGTGCACACCAATTTACTTACAGGGCTCCTGAAGGGACTTAAAAATTAAAAAAAAAAAATGTAAATGATTTTACTTTCGCGTGCGCAAGAGATACAAGATCCTTTTAAATTTTTGTAAAGGTTCCTTCGGGGGCTTCGTATTTACTCAATGAATGACCTCAAAGTAAACATATACATTCAAATGTTCTTCACGGAATATAGTATCCAATAACATTTAGATTGGATCAAGTCTTCAGTTAGAAACAGAACCTATTCATCCTGTACTATGGATCCATATTAAATAATCTACCTTCACATTACGAGCCTCATTGTACAATTCTGCTTTTTTGCTCAGATCGGACTTGCCCATCTTGATGGTTCGCATTCATAATTACAAGTGACCCGTTTCTAACTAGTGTGAATGCATCTGCCCTCCGAAGCGGCACGCATGCGCGGCTTCATACGTTTTTGCACGAGTCATTTGCATCAACAGCAAAAAACGCATTTGTGAGACGACTCTTGGTACCAAAACCGACACAACGGACGTGCTAATAGCTAATGTACTCATCGCATGCTGCTCTGGAGGACAGCAAACGGTTACATGATCAGGTTGAGAAGGCGAAAAAAAGCCAGATTGCTAGATTGTGCTGTTTTTCGCAACTATGCTGGTGCTGAGGGCAGCACTTTGCACAAGCAAAGTTCTCTCAGTACCAAGAACACGAAGAATGAACTTGGGGCGCAATGAATCATGGGATCGGTCTCGTTCGGTAAGGATGCATCCTTGATATTTGTGGCGGAGCAAGAACAACATCAGGGGGTTTTTACAGCCCTTTGTACTACTGTTCTTGAGTATTAGAACTGGTCTTCGGCGATGGAAGATGACGTGAAACAGGTGCGCCAGAACACAAGTACGGTCAAGTACGCATGTTGAGATTCACCCCACGTGAATTCGAATCTGACCGTCGTCATGCACGTCGCACGGCTATGATCTAGGGCAGGGTTGTTCAAATCACGGTCCTCCAGGTCCGAGCACTGCTGATTTCCCAGCCTTCCTTTACCTGTGAGCCAGGTGTGAAGCCTCTGACCAATCAGAATCAGTAATTATTAAACTGACTACCTAGGAGACCCGAAAACAAGGGCTGGATTTGAAATCGAGGTGCAGATTTGAAGAACCCTGTAATAGCCCATAAAACTGTAACATTTCACATACAGAAAAGGAAGCATCGGCGTCGATCTGGTATTTAGCAGCGATGCCAAAGCGGGTGTTGCTGTTTCCCGCCGTCCAGGCCAGGTTCACCGCCGTCTCCAGCTTGTCGTTCACCTTCTGGTAAATGGAGCCTCCGAATTCCGTGCCGTCGTTGCTGTAACACAAGCCAGGCTAAGCGATCTGAGGACAGGCAGGTCTCCAGTCACATGGGCTTATCACAGACTGAACCAATCAGAAACGTATCCCTGATGTTTAACAGTGTCACACTGTTTGACTAACACATTACCAGCCTCTTCAAAGCCAATAGCTCCTCTCTAATGTAACATTTACCGTCTATCCATCCATTTACCCAGCTTTTGTACCTGCTTGTTCTATGTAGGGGTCTGGAGCCTATTCCTGAACAGGGAATAGGCAGGGAAGTACCCAGGATGGGGCGCGAACCCACTGCAGACTGCACACTCACACACCATTCACTCACATGTGCGGATAATTTGGTAACTCCAATTAACCTCAGCATGTTTTTTGGACTGTAGGGGGAAACCGGAGTTCCTGGAGGAAACCCCATGACAACGCGGGGAGAACATGCAAACTCCACACGCATGGAGCCGTGGCGGAGACTCGAACCCTGGTCCCAGAGGTGTGAGGCGACATTGCTAACCACTGCACCACCATGCTGCCCGCGTCCACCATTATACTGTAAATTAAATGATTAACATTAATTACACTGATCTTTTTCTCAGAAACAGAAAAAGGATTTACAGAGGATTAGTGCCCTCCCTCAGCAGACAGGCCCTTTCATGGCCGGCGATAAATAACATTGTCTTCCTTTGATAACAAGGCACGGGGCAGCTGTCTTACCCCCACGGAAAGCGAGTGTGTAAAAATAGCTGGTGTGCGCCCACTGGCAAACGCACTCACACATTGGTGTGCAGCTGGAACTCGTCGGTTTTGTATCCCACGGCGAAGTTGCTCTGGGTGACCCTGTTCTTGCCGGCCTCGAACGTCGTCTGGTAGCCGGCCAGCCAGCCCTCGTAGCCGACCACCAGGGCCCCATGCAGGGCCGTCCCGTTGATGTCGTAGTCCACGTCGCAGCCCATGTTAATGTGCTCCCGCTTGTAGGCCGTCTTGATCTTCCCGCTCTTCTTCCTGCATCGGAGGGGGAAAGGACAAACGTGAAGACCCTGCAAAAGACTACAAGTCCCATGAGCACCCGGGAGCACAGCCCAGATCCTTCGGCGGGCCTTATGCTGCGTTCCACGTGAACTCGGAAGTCGGAAATTCTGAGTTTCTGGGCAGAAATTTCGCCCAGAGTGCCCCCTGAAGTCAGAATTCCCAACTGGAAAGTCGGAAGAACCTCTGCAACCCCGATCTCAGAATTCAAGATGGCTGCACCCTTCATCAGCAGTAGTGAGAGCTGTAGTTATACACTGTTTATTAAACTCTTATTTGTGTTTCATTAAATTGGTTATACACTCAGTGATGTCCAACCTATCTGGGGACTTGATGCTACAGTGTTTGCATGCACAAAACACCATGCAATGTTTTGTTACCAACTGATATTGCTAACGATGGCTAACAACAAACCAGGGTAGAACTGGGGCCTGTTGCAGAAAGCAGGATTTGTTGCTTAGCCGGATAACTTGTCAGATTTAAGGCAGACTGGGGTAAATGTAAGTGAACGAAGATAAAGGCCATTTAAAGTGAGGTACATTAAGTCCAACAAGTTATCCAGCTAAGCAACAAATCCTTCTGTTTGAAATCCTTCTGGTCTTGCTAAACGGCTTTCCGACTTGTTGTACTAGAACACAGTTAACTCGGGTTTGACGTCATTCCCTGCTCCCCCTTCTGACCTCTGCGGTAAACGGAGCGCAGCATAACTGAGTGACTTTTTAAACAAAGCCCGAAGCCCTTCGGGTTACTTCCCCAGATTCCAGAGCGTGGGCCGGATTCACCTCACCCGGTGTTCGG